TGGTTTCTCTTATCTCCACCACCTTCCCAAAGAAAATTCCTTTGAAGCTTCTCAATCTGATTTCTGACTTTGGTCGGAATCTGGAAGACAGAGAGGAAGTATACCGGCAAATTTGATAAGGAGGCCTTTAAGAGAGTAAACCTACCCCCTTTGGAGAGATAACACTTCTTCCAAGTCGATAGTTTCTTCTCGCATTTCTCCAACACAAAACTCCAAAAGTTTAGGGATTTTGGATTCCCTCCAAGAGGCATCCCAAGGTAGGTAATGGGGAGATTCTCCACTTTGCACCCCAATAAAGATTTGAAATTTTCTAGAAGATCCACTTCCACTGAGTTAATAGCCACAAATAGCCACAATACTGCTTTTGCAAAAATTAACTCTCATACCAGTGAGAATCTCGAAACATTCAATTACCATTTTAGTGTTTGTGATGTTAGTTATAGAGGCATCTAAGAATAGGATTATGTCGTCAGCGAACTGTAAGTGAGAGATGTGAAGTTTATCCCTACCCACTTCAAAACCTTTCACCAAGTTGAAGAGAATTGACTTATCAAAGAGATAATTAAATATATCCATCACCAAAGTGAAAAATAAAGGGGAAAGAAGGCAACCTTGTCTTAGACCCCTGCTTGCCTTGAAATAACCTTTCGCTTCACCATTTATCAATACTAAAAACCCTGGAGAGCCAATACAACCTTTAATCCACCTGATCCAGTTTCTCCCAAAACCTCTTAGCCTTAAGCAATCAAGAATGCAGTCCCAATCCACTTTGTCGTACGCCTTCTCAAGATCAAGTTTCACAAGGACCCCCGAGATCCCAGAGGATTCTCTGTCTTCTACACACTCATTTGCAATAAGAATGTTGTCCACAATTTGTCTTCCTTTAACAAAAGCAAACTGATTTGGGGAAATTAGATCTTCAAGGACTTCTTTAAGTCTATGTTGGCCAAAACCTTCGCCAAAATTTTGTATATGCTCCCAACCAAACTTATGGGTCTAAAGTCTTTAACTTCCAAAACTCCCCCTTTCTTAGGGATGAGGCAAAGAAAGGTAGAGTTAAGGCCCTTGTTAACAATGGCAAATGAATGGAAGTCCCTGAAAAACTCCATGAGATCTGACTTTACAATTTCCCAACATTTTTGGAAAAAGAGGATAGGGAAGCCATCCGGCCCTGGAGCCCTATCACTGTCCATGCTGAAAATAGTCTTCTTGACTTCTTCTTCTTCAAAACTTCTTTACAACCAATCCCTCTTTTCGGCTGAAAGGGTAGTGCCATCCCAATTAAATATTGTGAATTGGTTTTCACTATCCTTGGAGTAAAGGTTTTTAAAGAAAGAAAGGAAAGCTTCAGAAATTTCCTCAGGATTCTCCACTTCTCTCTGATTAAGATTGAGCTTAGAAATAAAATTCTTCTTACTTCTTCCCGAGGCATAGGTGTGAAAAAATCTGGAATTATTGTCCCCTTCTTTCAACCATCTCTCTTGATCTTTGTCTCCAATAGATCTCTTCCCTTCTAACTAGTTGCCCCCATTCCTTTCTTAATTCTGCTCTTTCATTTCTGTTTAAGGCATTGAGGGTCCCATTTTGCTCTCTATTGTCCAAGTCCTCTAATTCCGAAAGTATTATTTTTTTTTTCTCTTCTTCAACAGCTTTAAATTCTTCTCTTCCCCAAGCTTTAAGATTTTTCTTCAAAGCTTTTAGTTTCTGAAGAAGTCTGAATCCAGCCCAACCCTCTACTTTGCAGTCTTCCCACCATGTTGCAACCTTTTTACTGAAGTCTGTGTTGT